ATTTTTTCTACAAATATAACCTTTTTCCATTAAAATTCATTTGTTTTTTTTTAATTTTCATAAAAACATACTAAAAATCGTTGCGTCAAGCTTAAAAATTGTAAATATTAATTTTAAAACTAAAAGTACCACTTTAGCAGATAGGGGAAAAAATTCTTCAGTCATCAGAGATTGTAATGCAAAAAAAATCTGTTATAGATACGTTATTTTTGAGCACATATTTGAAAAATTTGAGAAAAAATGAAAAAATTTCATATATAGCATAATTTTTAATATCTTAGTACAATAGATTAAAAAATGTTTCAAAAACACACTTTCTTCGTTGACGTTAAATTTCAAAAAATCATAACTTCCTTCATTTTCATCAAATAAAAAAATGAAAAAATACGTATATCCTTATTTTTCATATAGATTTCGAAAAAAAATGTTTCGGACAAAAAAAACTTTTCAATGAAAATTTCCCATAGAATGCCCCATATATTGTACATATTTATTTGATTTTTTCGTATAATATATATATATATTGTCTGAATCAATAATCATTTTTTCGGATTTTTAAATTTTCTCAGATGATTGAACATTTAAATATTTACTTCACTTTTTCTTTACGCAGAGAAAAATGAAATTTACTAAACAAATTAATCGGATCACCTAAAATTAACTAGTTTTTAACATTAAATGTTTTTTTTTACTCTAACTACGATGAAAATAAGTTTCTGAAAATATTAGAACAAAAAAAACTTGTTTGTTAAAGTTATACATATAAACAATTAAAATTTTTAGCTATCTTAAATAAAAAAAAATTTTCTTAAGAAAAAGCTATTTTTTTGTTTTTTTGTCAGATTGATCTCGAGAAAAATTTTTTTTTTTTATTCAAGACAACTAAAAATTTCAATTACTTTTAACAAAACAAATTTTTTTGGTAGTAATATTTTTAGAAACTTATTTTTGATTACATTTAGAAGTAAAAAATATGATTTAACATTGAAAATTAATAACTTTTTAATTCTATGAAATTAAGGATTTATTTTGGTTTCTATTTTCAAAGAATTATAATTAGTGCATTTTATTCTTACAAGAATATATTATTCTCAAGGTAAGAATAATATCATAATTTTTAAAAAAATTTCTATTGAAAAATTGATTTTTATTTCTTTTTCATTATATATTTTTATAATTTTATATTATATATTTCAAACGTAGGAACAAAATACATGATTTTTGACGCCTAGAAGCAAATTAATTATAGGTTATGTTTTCGACAGTTTTACTTGAATTAATAGTTTATTTTTGTTTTTATAAAACTGAAATTAGTTTTTATTGAATATTTTGGATGTACTGAAGACCTAAATATCATTATTAAGTTCGTCCTCTTTCAAAAAAAATAAATAAATAAATAAAATGAAAAATTTAAAACTTTTTTGGCAGCCAGTGCGCGAGTGAAAATAAATAAAGATAAAAATTGCCAGAATCTTTAGGACTTGAAGACATGTTTCCTGGACGCAATTCGCAGCACTGGAAATATCTCATGGATGAAGAGAACAGTACAGTTAGGCGACCGAAAGAGAGGACGACGTGATAATGGAGTGAGACTAATAACACTACAGGGAAAGCAGCAGGATCTCATCCGCGAATCCAGGATGTAGGAATCCATGGGCGAATTTACAGTGAGCTAAAAACAAAGAGTAAAAGGTGAATAAAAGTGCATTACAATCTTAAGCATGTGCAATTTAATTCCAACAGTTGTTGTTTTTTTATAGCATTCTTATAAAGACACACCTTGCAATATATACATCTTATATTGAAGTATACAACCTATATGTATATTATAACTTGATGAATCTTCACTCTACCTGAAAACGATAGTAAGCGAGCCAGAAGAATAGGTATACATATTGTAAAAGGCGTGAATTCAAAATCACTCGAGCTTATTCAATCTTGATGAGAGCCTGATGATTCAAGAACACGCTTCGCGTAACGATACGTATCACATTTTGATTGTCTTCACCTTATACTTTTTTATTAAAGTTGTTGTCCTGCTTATTAAACCACGATATGGAGCATAATTTCTACATATATGTCTTTTGCTAATTAATTAACCTCATTTGTTTGTTTTGAGATGAAAAAAAGTGACAAATATAGCACATATATTTTAGGTTCATTTTATTTAAAAAAAAAAATAATAAGATTAAATGAATTTCATTTTAGTTAACTTAAATAATTAGATTTACTTATTTTGCATTATTTCTTACATTATATTGTTTATTACAATGTTTTCACTTGCACAGTTAAATAAAATATAAATTTATCGAGGGGGAATTTACTAGTTAAAAACGTGTACACTTGACTACCGGTATTACACCTCATATTACCCTTATTACTAAGTTATTACCCGTTATTACAGAGTATTACACATTATTACAGAGATATTACAGATTTTTTTGAGTTATTACAGCACCGTAATAACGCATTATTATACACGATATTACACGTTATTACACAAGTATTACAGGAAGAGTGTACACTTGACTACCTGAATAAATTTCCCCTCGAAATTTATATTAATAATACGATAACAATATAAATAATACGAATAATAATAAAAAATTAATCTAATAATTAATTATGTTAATTTTTTGATAATAATCATTTTTCCAGTTTTTTACAACTTTCATCGTTTGTACTATAATAATAATAATAATAATAATAATACGTTTATTGTAGACCAATTACAGTCCATTTTACAAAAAAAAATTAGTTTACATAATTGATATACAAAATTAATACATACAAAAATAAGGTATAAATACATCCCAACTTTCTACATAAATCCCCGTTTGTACTATAATACGTAACATTTACCTAATATCTGAATTTGTGAATCTGCGGTAACTTTGATTACACACTTTAATTATTATTAAACTCGTATTAAACTAAATATAACATACATTATAATAAATAGAATAATTACGTAACTATTTTTATTTTAAGCTACACTGAAAAAAAAATTATTTGATTCGAATAATCAGTTACTTGAATATTATGAAATAAATATATTAATTTGTATCAAATAATTATTATTTAAGTCAATTAAATGGTATTTGTTTTAAATACAGAAATTAGTGGTTCAAATAAAGTTTATATCTAATTCAAATAAAAATTATTTGATACAAGTAAATATTTATTTGATATTAGTTAAATAACCGATTATTTGAATTAAATACATTTTTTTCAGCGTATGATATGCTAGGGGAATATACTCTGAGTTGGACACTACTCAGGGTTGGACACTTCGCCTTTCTTAAAATAAGAACACTAGCGCCATCTATACACGGAAGTGGCGAAGCTTCTCGTAGTAAAACCTAACTATTTGTGCCATTACATTTTTGGAGGATCAAAAGTAGCGTCTGTTGTGACGTCGGTGCATTTGTAGGAACGAAAAAAGTTTTGTGAGCGATGTGATTAAACATAAAAAATGAATAAAGAAAACAAGAAATCGGCAAGGTAAGTTTATTGCATGTATTGTGGGGATCATGATTAAAGAAAAAATGAAGTGAAAAATCGAATTGCGAAACATGTCTGGTTATGGTTAGCACAATTTGAAAAAGTTACTTCTACTTAGGGTTGGACAGTTTATACACTCAGGGTTGGACACTTTGTTAATTATGAATTTGACACAATTTATAAATAAATATACAAATGAACATTGACGCATACACACAGCACATATTCTGCCAAAGATATTAGAAAATAATAATAACGTTAAAAATGAAAAAATGAACTTAAAATTCGTTTTCAGTAACGTTATAAATAATATTAATTGCTGTCAATTATAAATAACAATAATGTAAAAAAATAAACATAAAAAATGTTCTCCGTAACGTTATAAATATTTTTTTATTTTTGTACCCATAATTCGCATCGATTTTCACAAAGTGTCCAACCCTGAGTATAATGTTCAATCCTGACTAGATTTTCTTTTTAAAATGATCAGAACTTTTTTAATTTTAGACCAATCAATTTACGATCTTCAGCAAAAGTGTTCCCCTTTTGTACATCTTTCTAAGAATATAACTCAATTGACTAAAATTATTTTTTTAAAAAAGATTATAAACAAAGTTCAAAACAGGGTCCAACCCTGAGTATATTCTCCTATAAATAAAGGTAACTATTTTTGGATTCGATAAGACTTTGGATTTTTCTTTGATTTCAGATAATTGAAATTATAAAATTTTTTCAATATTGACTTATTGTACACGTAACATGAAATTCGTTGGTTAAAATATCTTATTACCTTCTTTGAAAAAATTTTATTTATTCTAAATTTAAGAATAAGTTTTAGATTCCATTAAGGTCAAATTTTTATATGTATTCCCAAAGAAAAGAAACACTTTTTACATAAAAAAAGGAAAACAATCAAAAATAATTAAAGGAAAAAACATTCCTAATTTAAGAAAGTTTTTCTTATTTTAGGTATATTTATATATATTTTATATATATATATTATCTGTTAACTATAAAAATAAAATGTAGACGATTTTATTGTTAACTTGGAGTAAAAGTTATATTCTTAAATTAAGAATATCAATTTTTTAAATGTTATTATTATAACTTATAATATAAATTGACCTTTCATTTATGTTCTTGGGATGCAAACATAAAACTTTTACATAGATAGACTTTGTAATAATTTGCATAAGAGTAGTAGCATGACCTTCCTACAGGAGTTTCATTAACTGTTCTTTAACAATAATTCATTTAAAGAACATTATTCTCAATCTTAAATATTTTACAAAGGAATAAATTATTTTTCAAAAATGCGTCTTAATATTTATTTTTAACTTATTGTTGTCTAAAAATTATCTACGTGTAAATAAATATAATACTCGTATAAGCACAGATTATTTTTATCTTGCGAAAATATGTATTAGCTTTTCTCAAGAAAACATTCTTTAATTTAAAATATTGTTTTTTGTACAGATGGAAAATTTAAAAAATAAATAAAACAATTTTTAGATATATTTTCTTCTATCTAATGACAAAGTTTTGCTTAAAAAAAAATGTAAAAAAACAAATTTTTACTATCGGTGACAAAATATTTATGTTGCAAGAATAGCTATTAGATTGACTTAAAACTTTGGTAAATTGTTGCCCTATTTGATTATAAAAAATCCCTACAATATTACGTTATGCAAAAAAAAAGAAAATTCTAGAAAGTAGTAGGGGTTAAAGTTTTGATATTTAAAGTGACAGTCATTTAAATTCTCTGTTTCATAATTGAATAGTATTTTCAAGTGTCGAACCAATTTATCAACGTTTTCTAATATTTTTACGAAAAAGTTAAAAAATTTTCCAATAAAATATGTAATAATAAAAGTGAGCCTTATTCTTCAAAAAGGGACATAACTTTCAAAAACAAATTTTCAAGAAAATAACTGATAATGATGCCATTGCGCGATGCATTAGGGGGTGCAATTATGTAATTTCATTTTGACTTCTACATCGACATTGACTTTCATAATGACTTTCACTTTGACTTTTATTTTGATTTTGACTTTCATTTTCACTTTCACATTCACTTTTATTTTCACTTTTACTGAAATACAAATTTTAATTGAATTTCAGAATAAAAATCAAAGTAAAAGCTAGTCAATTTCGATATGGAAGTCAAAATGAAATTACATAATTGCAACCTAGATTTGTCAAATTTAATATGGCGAAAGAATTTTCAAAAATTTAACAGATTAGCATGAAACTTGTTACTAAGGAGTTTTCGAGATCGCTGATTATGAATCTGGCATCAAATTTTGAAAATACAAAATGGCGGATGCAAAATGGCGGATTTTTCGTTAAAGTTTATCTTATTTACTTGAAACTCGTTGCTCGGGGTTTTTTTGCATCACTGATTATGAATTAGATATCGTTTTTCCAAAATTCAAAATGATATATCCAATATGGTGGAAGATTTTTTTTTTAAATTGAAGAGTTTCATTTGAAACCTGAAAGTAAAAAGTTTTCAGCGAATCTAATGAATTTAATTAATATTTAATGTTTCCCTTTTTGTAAATCAAGGCACATAATTTATATTTGAAAAATAAATAGAAAAAATTTGAAAATTATTTCATTCTTTGGACCAAACGAAATTCTTTCCATTTCTCGAACTTGTCTCGGACGATCGTTCAGCATCCGTTGAGTCGGCATCGTAAACGTTAACAACCTCACGAATAATATGAGAATAGGGAGTAATTCCTGGATTTTGACCAGCGAATGGTTGATATGGCACATGATGCTCGTGATAAGGATATTCGCCTTGTGCCGTTGTATCAAGCCCGTAACCATTGCCATAACTAAAGCCATTAAAATTTATCGGTGGTGATCCTGAGGGTCCAGAAAATATGGAATTCCATCCAAATAGACCAGTGAGTAATAATGCAATTTTCGTCAAAATAAAAGCTTTTTTCGTGATAAAAAGAAGTATTCCAAATACTAAAGGAATCAATGAGACCATATTGAACTTGAATCCCAAAAGAAATGGCAACAGAACGTGTTTCATCAATGTTCTACCTGGAAACATATTTAAGAGAAAGGTTATATAGTATTGCTGTATGCCAGAGACCTTGTTGTCAATGGCCTTGACCGTGCTGCCTTCTCTTGGGTAATTCTCACAGCACGTTCAAGTTTAATACCTTCGGTATTCCTTTCTATTTTCTAGGTGCATATCCTAGCTAAAAATCACAGGTATTCTTCTAATCATTTTTACCGATTCATTTTGAAATTAAGAAAAAAAATTTATAATATTATAGCAAAAAAAATGGATTTATTAGATAATAAATAATTACTAGAAAAATGGGAAACAAAATTAAATATTTTTTCCACTTGAATTTGTTTACAAGATCGTTTTTGAAAACCTTTTTTTTTTAATATTTTCCGTTTGTTTTTGAATATACGCAAAATTAATCAATTTAAATTAACTTCTTTGTTATATATTCAAAAAGAAGAAAATATTAAAAAAATTGTATGATATTTGAAAATAAAATAGATTTCTTCTCGTTTTGAAAGTATTTTCAAAGTATTTACTATCAAGTTTCCTACTGAGTAAAGAATTCTCTAGTTTCTCGTTAGATTGCGCTCAAATACAAATTCGTAGATTTTATAGAGTTGAATTTTCGAGTTTACGCAATTTTTTAAAAAAAATTCCTCTATTCCTTGGAATTCCTAACAAGCAACGGATATTTCAGAATATCTTATGGACGTCGTATCTGTATCCTGAAATTTGAATATCTCTTGGATGTTCTCATGATATCTATGAGGCAAAATTCCTGAAATGTCCGAACAAAAAATTAAAAGTTCTCGAATTTAATCCATACTTTTCTAAAATGTTGTTATTGTTGGTGAAAGTCTAAAAATCAATTATTATTGAATTTAATAAAATAGTTTTTGAATTACAACGTTTTTAATTTTTGACTTTTGAAAAAAAAAATTTTTTTCAATGTACAATATTTATAAGTAGAATGCATAAAAGTTAACATATATATAATGATTTTTAAAGCTTTTTTGACGGGCTACACGCTGTTAATAAAAATTTTTTTTTTTTAAATAACATTTGACCTTGAAATTCAAGGTCAAAATGTTAATTTACGTTTATCTCAAAATCGGATTTTTTAAAATTATTTTTAACTATCTCAATGGAAAGCTTGACTAATTTCCTACAAAACATGTAATTTTCAGAGTGGGATCTTTTAAAGTTTTTGAGATATTAATTAATTAATTAATTAATTAATGTTTATAACAAATGAAATATTTTACAAACGAATAAAGTTACCGTAATTCTGAAGTTAGTAATTGAAAGTTAACGTAATTCCGCATCCAACGAGCCCTATATGAAGTATTTTGGATAAGTAGATTGTTAATAAACAATTAGTTAACATTGCAATTGTTTATTAACAATCTACTTATCCAAAATACTTCATATAGGGCTCGTTGGATGCGGAATTACCTTAACTTTCAATTGGTAAATTTATATTTACGCTAACTTTATTTGTTTGTAAGATATTTCATTTTTTATTGTTATTTAACTGAAATTGAACAAAAATACTTCATATAGGGCTTTTGGATGCTTGTTGTTAGTAAAAAATAAAATATTTTACAAACAAATAAAGTTATGGTAATTCTGAACTTACCAATTGAAAGTTAAGCTAATTCCGCATCCAACGAGCCCTATATGAAGTATTTTGAATAAGTAGATTGTTAATAAACAATTGCAATGTTAACTAATTGTTTATTAACAATCTACTTATCCAAAATACTTCATATAGGGCTCGTTGGATGCGAAATTAGCTTAACTTTCAATTGGTAAGTTCAGAATTACGGTAACTTTATTCGTTTGTAAAATATTTCATTTGTTATAAACATTAATTAATTAATTAATTAATATCTCAAAAACTTTAAAAGATCCCACTCTGAAAATTACATGTTTTGTAGGAAATTAGTCAAGCTTTCCATTGAGATAGTTAAAAATAATTTTAAAAAATCCGATTTTGAGATATATGTAAATTAACATTTTGACCTTGAATTTCAAGGTCAAATGTTAATTTAAAAAAAAATTTTTTATTAACAGCGTGTAGCTCGTCAAAAAAGCTTTAAAAATCATTATATATATGTTAACTTTTATGCATTCTACTTATAAATATTGTACATTGAAAAAAAATTTTTTTTTCAAAAGCCAAAAATTAAAAACGTTGTAATTTAAAAACTATTTTATTAAATTCAATAATAATTGATTTTTAGACTTTCACCAACAATAACAACATTTTAGAAAAGTATGGATTAAATTAGAGAACTTTTAATTTTTTGTTCGGACATTTCAGGAATTTTGCCTCCTATGGATATCTCTGAAACATCCCATGGATATCCTACTTTTCGGTTATCCATAGGATATCCTGAATATCCGGATGCCGTTAGGGATAGAGTTTTAGAATGTTTTAATATTTCTTTTTTATGAAAAAATGTATTTTTTACATTTTTGAGAATAATTTTTTATTTGAAAATTTTATAGGTGGGTTGTATTTTATTTATATTGTTAGAATTAGAATATCAAAAATGGCATAAATTTTTTGATACTGTTAAATTTTATCAATGTAACAAATTTAAATGACGAACATAAAACTGAGTAAAAATAAATTAGCTAAATTAAAAAAGAAGTTAAAAAAAGAAGAATAAGAAATAAACGAAGAAATTATAAAAGAAGAAATAAAGAAATAGAAGACAAGTAAAAGCAGAAAAGAGTAAGAAAATTAAGTGAGAAAGAAATTATTAAAGAAATAAAACAGGAATGAAAAATAATAAAAGAAGAATGAAAATAATAAGAAAGAAGAAAAGAATATTAGTGAAGAATTAAAGTTAAAAAGGAAGAAGAAAATAAATTTAAGAGTTTATAAATAACACTTTCCAAAAATTGTAACAATTAGTACAACCAAAAATTAAATTTGAATGAATTAATTATTGTTTAATCAGAAATTCATCCTCGAGGCGTTTGAATGCTGTGCCCCGTTATAATTACGTAATCTTGTAGATAGTTTACGCTGATCCCTTCCTGTTATTTGTCACACTTCGATACTCCTCCATACTGACCTAATCATACTCAAAAGATACTCACTTATACATTAATTCACTATATTTTATATTAATTTTCACTGAATTGCATCAATATTTATTGATGAAATTTAGTAATAAACAAATTTCATTAGCAAAATTTAAAGAATAAAATCAACTAGTTTTAAGATTTATAGTTATATATGGTACATAAAAAATTTCTGGTACCTTGCCCAAAATAAATTGAGGTCAAACAACAGGAATGTAAGAAATTACCTAAAAATTTGAAAAACATCTGCTTTCTAAAACCAGCTGCTCCATTGTCCATTATTTCTGTTTTACAAATAGTTTAGATTTTTTATTTATTTATTATTTATTATTAACAATTTTCTTGTAACTGTCAAAAAAAATTATTTTATATTCAATTAAGATAATTTTTGTTTCTTATACTTTATAACGACTAGAGATTAAATGCTTTTAAAGTGAAAGTCACAATAGTTGTAAATTTTATTGTTGCTAACGAAAGTGGCTCATTCTTAAATTAAATTTGAGGATAATATGCATTTGTTAATTCTTAATTTTCATATATGTACATGGAGAAAAATGGGATTGTTGTGCACATAATTTTTGGATTGTTGTCAGTAGATTTGTTTATGTTACAATTAGAAATGTTAATATTACAATTCGGATTGTTGTCAATACAAATGTATGTTGTTTTAACAACAATACGAATTTTTTGTTGTCAGTTTTGTTCAGTTTGCAATGCCGTACAGTTACAGAAGCAAACTCTCTGTCGATTGCTGATGGAACAATCCGGATTTGTTCAGCTGACAAGTTTATTGTTCCATGTCACGTGGTCATATTGAATTCTCGCAAACTGGCGTGCAGATCGTCGCGTTGTTTCCTTCTGGCACATGTGCCACTTTTGCTTTTATTATTAGTTTATTTTAGAAAAAATAACAATGTGCTATTAAATAATGAATCCGGTTAAAGTGAGAAATCTATTGCAAGTGTAGTGGATGGATGAAGAGACAATTTTTATCGTTTATCAGTAAGTTATACACGGTTACTATTGAACATAACCTTACCTTAAAGAATACAAAATGTATATTAAATATTATTTAACAACAAATTTCAACTCAAAATAATTTTTTGGTTTCAGGTCAAAGAATTTGATTCAGAAGCTGCATGTTCCACAGATTTTAATGCAAATGAAACTGGTAATATGACCTACGGAAATCTGCTATCGATTATTGTAGAAGGCGAAAAAACTGATCAAATTGTATTAGGGAGATCAAAGCTTTGTTAATACAACAAATTGTATTGCCGATTTAACAATTTAGTTTTGTTATTTCAACTGTTCCATAACAATTTTCTTTGTTCATCAAACAATTTTGTTTTTTCACCGAATAATCCGAATAGTTTTAATAACAATCCCATTTGAACAATTTTTTTTGTCCCAAAAACAAGTAGGACTTCTGGTTCTATATTGACAATCCGGAATTGTTGTGTGGACTTAATTTTAAGTAACCACAACAATTCCTCTTTCTCCATGTATGTATCCTTATAATAATAAAAGAAATAATAATAATAAGTAGAAAAACAAGAATAATACTCTCTAAATCTGAATTAGTAAAAATCTTCACTAATTTGAATTAGTGACTCACTTTTTACTTTAGAATTATTTCAATTTTACTAATTGTTAGTAAAAGTTAATAATAATAGAGCGTGTAGAACTGGGATGCTCAATTAGTAAAATTTTACTAATTAAGAAGCAAAAAGTGAGTCCCTAATTCAAATTAGTAAACATTTTTACTAATTCATATTTAGAGAGTATATGAAATAATTAATAATAGTCACTAATTACCTAATTTTAACTATCTTCTCGTTGTTATTAATATAATTACTATGTATGATAATAATTCCAAATTTTAAATAATGTAAATTAAACTCTTTAATAATATTTTATTTACTCGTACTTTAAAGTAGGTTAACTATCTCCCATTATAATCGTTTTATAAGCTTCTAAAGTCTTGTAAGCATATAATTTTGGAGTGCAAATTTCGCACAAGGTGCAATTAAAAGATTTGATTGGTAAATGAATATCAGACTGTATGATGACTATCTCTTAATTATTACCTTTCGAACCTTTATATTAAAACAAGATATGTTTATGACATGAAAAATCTTATACAACCATTTAAAAAAAAATGAAAAGAATAATTTTTATCGAAAACTTATTTTTATTTCTCAATGAGATTATATATATATATATTACTGATTCAATTAACTTAAATTTCTTTAAGAAATATTAATCAAAATATGCTAATTCATAACAAAAAGTCCACTAATAGTCATTTCTAACGGTCAACTTTTCATTCTCAAAGCACAACGTATATAATACTCGTAAAACGCCAAGCGCTACAACATTCTCACTTTAAATATTATACTCGCGTCTGAACTGTGTACCATAAAACAATTTTATTGCAAAATACAAAAGACATAAACTTAGAAACTCACTTAAAGAGGTTCATAATTTGTCAAAAATATTGTTAACTTGTCGAAAAACGTTAGTAAAAGATGAACAATTGCTCACTAATGAAATATTTAAAGTATCAGAAATGAAATATATTGTTCTAAACAAAAAGTTTTTTAATGTTTCTTTTTAAAGTAGTATTATTGTTAGACAAAAATGAACCAATTCTTTTTTGTGTCAGACTAATATTTTGTCTTTGTAGAATCAATAGTTTTTTTTTTTTAAATTAATTAAAATCCCAATTATTGAGCAACTCACCATTTCCCGCTTGTCTATTGTTTAATTTAGAAACTCGTTCATCCAATATAAATTCGAGAATTCCATTTGCGTTTAAAGTAGGTCCAACACGCATCTGTAGGCCTGGATACCAATTTCCCAAATCCCATCGAAAATTTCTACGCTCTATTAGTCGAGAAGCTGCCTCTACAACATTTCCAAAGTCTTTTGGATCATAATCCAGGTCAAGAAGATCGCGAGCCTGACCTTCGATCCTTTGAAATCGCATATCTCCAAAATCGAGATCATCCTTCTCATTTAATGTCTGAAGTGAACTCAAAGCACCACGATTTATACATTCCATGGTACCGTACATTTTTTTCGATAAACAAATTCCTACAGCCTCATTAAAACTAGTCGATTCATCAGCATCAATTTCCGGTCCTGATTTCGATTCTATTATTACTGCCAATACCGCCGTTAACATTAGCAATAAGCAAAGATTTCTTATTTGACTCTTCATTTCTCTGCGAAAATGTTTTTTTTTTTTTTAAGTAAATGGCTCGAAAAAAGATTATCAGATTTGAAGTTGTTTAGGTGAAAATTTATTGAGGATTAAAGAATGTTTTAGGGGAATTGCTGATCAGTTTTAAAGTTTATTTGTACTTTTGAGTTTTTCAGGTGAATAGTTGCTAAATTAAAAATTTATTTTTAACAAATAGTTGATCCGTTTTAAAATTGTTTAGCTTTCAGGTTGCTTTTGTAACTACTTGGTCAATTTCAAAGTTACTCAGATTTAACTTGTTCGGGCGAAAATTTGATATAAGCAATTCCTCTACTATCAAATTGCTTTTAAATTCTACTATAAGCTTCTTAAACTATTTAGTTTCAGTGTTGTCTAAGTAAAATTTTCCACAATTTCAAAGTTATATTCACGAACAATTTAATTCAAAATTGATTAAATAAAAAGCTGATTAGCTTTTGTTAAAGAATGTCAAAAAATTTGATCACTTAAAATCTGATTAGTTGAAATATGATCCAATCGAAAAATCCGTTAAGCTAAAAATTTATTTAAAGAACTATTCACACAAAAAAACATTCCAAATAAAAAAAATCACTGATTTGGAAAATTTCTGCAAATTTTTACATTCTGCTAATCAACTTCAAATACAATGATGATTTATCAATTTGAATCATTAAAAGTCTAATAATTAATTTTTTTCTATATTTAAAAAAGAAAACGAACTTCAAACTAACACACAAATTTCAACGAGATCTCAAACAAAACTACTGAATATTCCAAAGTGAACACCCACCTTTATAAGTTTAGGAACGTTCACCCACACATGCAGTGAAACAATCGGTTTCACTTGAGAAACAAACAAGAAGCGAAAGTTATACTCCTCCAAAGTTCTTTTTATTATTGTCTGATCTGAAACGCTTGATGGTCCCAAGTAAGTGACTTCCGCTTGTAAATGTGATGATGAATTCTGACAAATGTCATGAAAGAGTATTATACTATCAAATATATATATATACTCTAAAAGTCAACCAAGCAAATCAGGTTTTATGTATTTAAAAAAAGAACATGTTTATAAAATAATTATATTTATTTATAAATAACATAAGTTACATGGTGAATCGACATTGTCGAAATAAATAATCATTGGATAAGTCTGTGAGCAATTCTGACTAAGAATTATTCAGGATAATTTGATTCACACATGGATTGACACAATCCATGGAGAAATCTATCCCGATAATTCCGAAGGGATGCTGCACGAATGATTTGATATGAGTCGCGACCAGTTCAGTCTGATCTTTCAAACCACGAAGTCTCTTTGTGTCGAAAATAAATAAGCCTTAAACGTAATCTAAATATATGTGTACAGTCTCTGTCATAATGCCAACATTGGAAACACTGTCCATTTATTCTGTCGTCATGATCATTATCTGTCGTCATAATATTTTGTCAAAAATCGTCAAAAAAAAAAAAAAAATGAACTGTTTAATATATCTTTGATCCTCAAGATCTAATCTCGTTTATCCTCAGAATCAAAGATTCATATCACAAGAGATCAACTCTTGTTGAAAATTGGTCAATAATTGAAACAAAATTTGATCGATCATCAAGATTCAATCAATTGTCATGATCAGTTTGTTGTAGTCGTCGATGTTGTGTCTGTATCACTGTCACTGTCTAAAAATAAATCAGTCCCTGAGTCGAGAGCTTCATTGTGTATGAAGACATTTATCATTAGCCCTGGTCACGACACTTTCGATGATCCGTCGACTGCCTCAAGTGTTAAGGCAGTGCGAGGATGAAATGGTGAAATGATAATGACTAAATTTAATTGGTTGGCTGATAAGCGTTGTAAGCAAGATCCGAAGCCTGCTCCCATGAGTTCGCTGATCTTCCCCATCCATGTTCGTGATGTTCCTCGTGATGTGGAACTTCGTATGTTTGATGTTTGGCGCCCATGAGTTTCTGTAGACCCAAGATTGCGCTGATGACGAGTGCAATTTTGCCAAAGACAAGTGCTTTCAGTGCGAGGAAAGCAAGTACTCCAATTGCAATGGGGATCAAAGCGGCGAACTTCAATTTCAAGAGCAAGAGAAGAGGGATCAAAGATTTGACAATCTTCTTCTTTTTGCCACGACCTGAATGAAGAGGAAAATTTCGTTAATTGTTGCATGAAATATCAGTTAATAAAGATCACGTGGTTTGTAATAATTATTAAAAAGGAAAATTAAAGAAAAAGAAAGAAATTGCAAACATTTCACATACCTTCTTCGAGGGACCGGGAGGACTCATCACCGAGGTTGAGTTCAACAGTGTGGGTGCTGAGGAACTTGGCAGTTCTGTCGAAAAGAGCCTTATCAACTGCAGCTTCTCTGGCCTCAATTTCAGTGGGCAAAGATGATTCAATTTCGTTCAATGATCTTCCATAGTCAGCGCGACTGTAAAAAAAAAAGATCAAAATTACTATCCTCAGCTTTCTCCAAGAGAAGAAATCTTATCATCATCATCAATTATTATCTCATTCAACTTTCTCCCTCATCATTCACTCTTGATTTCAAAAATAGTAAACCATGAATGAAAAATGAAATAGGATTTAATACAGGAACCAATCAGGCAGAAATAAAATTTAAAAAAGGAATTAAAAAAAATAGTGAATCATAATTAAAAGGAATAGAATAAAAAAAAAAAGTTTTGAGATTGGAATAAAAACGAAGAAATGAAAAAAAAATTGATCCAGATCACACAGTCAAGGCGAAAGGAAGACTCCGAATCGTAATAATCCTCTTATTCACCTGATTGCACGTGACGCAATCGCACTGAGATTCACTTTCGCGCAAGTATATATATATATATATATATGTATATACAAATCACAATCGCGTGTCGTTTTCATTTTTTTTACCCTTACCTATTTTTGGCTTCATCAGTTTGAACAATTTTGAGATCATCAGTAATGTCAAATTCCGCGGAACGTGCAGCTCTGTCGACAAAATTAAGTGCCTTAAGTTTAAGGCACACGGCCATGTCATTTTCATCGGCACATGATGAATAAACATCAATAGCTTCCTCAAAAAGGGAACGCTGTTGAACCTCTTGTGAGGCTGGGGCCGCAAATGTAGCCGCGGCTAATGAAAGAACCACCACGAATTTCATCATTTTTGCACTTAATTACCACCAAAAAAATTTATCTCGCACTGTTAATTTGTTTATGGCACGTATTAGCACCCACCGATACTTAAATATCCAAGGCAGATTTTTTTTTCTTAAACTGCTTGAACGACGACGATCGTATCGACACTGGCCGAAAGAATCACGATGCTGCCTTTTATCCTCGACGCGAAAGGGGTCCGCGTACGTTTTTGAAATTTTGATGGCCCCCACTCCAACCTATTGGTTCTTAAGTGCCGTTCGTCGTCTGTCGTATACGCTTGACCATCCGCCCATCCATCCGTATGTATTGCCTTTAGCCTATAGTCTTTCGTGTGTACATAAGAAAGACGACGACGGGTGTTGGCCCATTCGAGAAGCTGCAAATGTATGTGATTATTGTTTGTATGTGTATGTGTGTGTGTGTGTGTGTGTGTGTGTGTGTCACTCGTTCACAAGTCAATATGTGAATCAGTCAATGTGCGTATATCAATTGGTGTGTATTAGTGTTTAAACGCTTTCACACAATTAAAAAAGAAACACATATATGTATTGAACACTGTTTCTTTGTGTGTTCGAAGATTGGAGAGAGGTATCGGTCAAAGGCACCGAATTCATCTCGTTGGCTTAGGAATACCGGGACCCTCCCCTTTGAGAGGTGCCTTTCCCCGAAATAAGGGCCTCATATGTGTATGTCCACCAATGCCTTATCCCCAATTTCTTATAACTTCCCACGATTTCATCATCCAAATATTGAGTTTTGTCACTTGGAGAGATATTATTAGATTCTCACGACACCAAATTCAGTTTCTCCACTTAAATCTAGCAATTTATTGTTACTCTCGGAATTCCTTACTTGTGTAATGGGACATAAGTCCTCAATTTTTTTTTTCTTCCCCCCTTTTTCGAATGATTCCAACTGCAATCTGTGTTGACCTATTTCCTTTTCATTTAAAACATTTTTTAATTTTTTAATTATTTTTCCAATTTTTTTAAAATTTTAATCTATTTTATTTATTATTACTTTTTTATATTAACTTTTTGTTTACTTTTCTTGTTAAAACCGAATTTTGGAATTCCAAAATTTAACGGTTTTTAAGACAAAAAGCAAAATTTCCAAATATTGCTGATTTTTTTTTTTTAATAAAAAGTCATAATAAAAAAAAATCGTGATCGAAAAAGAGGAGAATGAAGAAAAATCATTAATAGAGAAAAAAAAATAATTGCAGTCTTTTCGTATTGTTAGTAAAAAAATTCCAAGTTTCGAATTTATCAACATTCGTCAAATTATTATTGACAACTAGAATTTAGAGTAAACCATTACATACTGATAAACCCTTTTGAATTTCAATGTTAATTTATTTTAATTTAAATTTAAAAATTGAGAAAAATAATTTTCTTAAATTTAAAAAATTTGACATTTGACATGTAAATGATAATAATGTCAGAGAGGAATTTGTCTCCACCCATTTTCTATACAGTTATCGTTTATTTCATTGACATCGATGGCAAATCTTCGCAAGTTTTATCACTCCAAGAAATCCTGTTTTGCTGAATGGGACGAATTTAATTCATGACGAAAACGGTGAAATTTTCGCATATATACTAGGATGGCACTCAAAGAATGCGAGACTGACCTAAAAAAGTATTTCATCGTTGGAAACTGATCATCTCAATGACATTGAGTGCGTGTGTGCGGTAATTTTTTTTTTTTCTTTTTCTTTTTCTCTCCACGACAATTAGAGGAAATATTCATATTTTTCATTAAGAAACAGCGTGGTGTGTCTATTAGCATTTACAAGAGAAAAACTAATTTATTTCCACTTAGTAGTAAATTTATAGTAGAAAGCAACGTTTAAATATTTTTAAGAATGATTAAATTATTTTGTGTATTATTTACGTAAACTTTTAAAAATTCTTATTTCATTATGTTAAAATTCAAAAGTTAAAAAAAAGACTGATAACGAACGTTCATTATTATTTTCTCTTTTGAATTATAAATTATTATTATCCATTCAATTTTGTTACAAGGGAAAATTTTTGTAAGAAAGAAATAGATGAAAGGGAAAACGATACTATAGAGACGTTTTCGATATAGAAGGAACAGTGAAAGTTTCTGGTAAAAAAAAAAAATTCAAAATTTCAATACAAGAAAAATGATACATGTACCAGATGAATATTGCCCTAATAAAATTAATATCATAAACCTTTTGTTCACTGTTAAGATTGTGGTATCAAAAGAATGTGAATTTTTCGAATTAAATTGCTGGTACCACTTATATTTTTTACCCAAGAAAAAAAACTGGTACCAATATAAAGAGCGGTACCACTTACCTAACAAGTACCAATAGATATAATGGTACCAATTTTTTTTAATTAATTATCGGAAGATACAATAAAAATTTATTAATAAGTAGCTGATACTGAAAAATATATTGATAACAGTTGGTACCAGTATATAATTAACTGATTTCAAATAATTCCCCAGTACCACAAGAAAAATTTAAATTTTCGTTATCAGAAAAAAATTGTTCTTCATCGAATGACTGGTACCAGAAGAAATACTGATATTAATTAATTATTTAATAAGCTGGTACCAGAAAAATACTGATTCTAATTAAATATATTGTACCAAAATAAATACTGGTACTAGTTGGTTATATAATTGTATCGGAAATAATACTGATGCCAGTTAAATGCTGGGTACCAAAAGAAATACTAACAGCAATGAATTTTTAACGTAAGTAACTGGTACCAAATACCAAATAATTATCGACTTCCAAAAAAACTCCTGGTTCCAATTAAATGTCCTTTACCAAAAACATACTGGTACCGAAAAATTACTGGCACTGTTTAAACATTTGGTACCAAACTAAGTATCTGGTACCGGAAGAATACTGATAGCAATGTAACAACCGGTACCAGAAAAATACAGGTACTAAGTAAATAGTACCAAAAAAATATTTTCAGCAATTAGCTATTTATTTAAATAACTGGTACCAGTTACCAGAAAAATTTAATTTTTGGTATCAAAAAAGTAAATAGTTTAAAAGTTTTGGTACTATAAAAATATTGGTTTTAAATTAATAGCTGGTTCTAGAAAAAGTAATGGTACCAATTTATTGACTGGCACCAAAGAAATACTAATACTAACTATAAGTGGTTACTATAAGAAGAAACACTTTCACTAATCTAATTCTTTCTTTTAGTAAGTATACGATTTCAAATTCTGGTACAATGGATTGAGTCAACATCAGAAATCTCTTCTTCTTAACTTTATGACTAGTACTAATTAAATAACAAATATCAGGAGAATTTCTACTATCAATAATTTATTTTTCTGTTAATATTTATATTTGTTCAATTAATACGAATGAAATTTTTCACCATCAAAATATAATCTTCCTCTAATAATTGCTACTAAACATATAGTGTTAAACAATAATAAAATGTAAAACTTGTTACAATTTTTTTTGCCAGACTATATGTGACGTGTTATTTTTTTCTGTATCAGATGTAAAGTTTAACGTTGCATGGAATCAATGTTTAACGCACGACATTAGTTATCTGAAATTGCTCTCCATTGAAAAAAAAAAAAAAAAAAAATTGGATGCTGCGAGAATAGATGACTTTAGTCTATGACGAAAAATATTAATTTATCCCAATGGATGTCGCACAGAACGTTTAACGGTTTTTGTAGAATGTGCGTGCGCAACATTGAATCGTTGCTGTGCGAGTTGGGTCCGAGCCAGACCTCCCTGGAGAGGATGGCCGCGCCTTACGATGACCCCGAAGTCTCCTGGTTAGAAGAGGAGAAAAAAGAAACGACTTTTAAAATATACATACGATATGCCATACCAAAAGCAACTCGCGCAAAAGAAAGAATTGATACGCGACAGACTTTCTCCTAACTGACGATGAATCTCACGATGAGAAAAGTTCACCAACAAAATTTTTATTCAAAATCCACGGTAATTTTTTTCACATCGACAAAAAAAAAATTAATTTCGATATTAGAAAAATGTTTCTTTGATCATCAACAGAAACATTAATGATATAATAAAACATTTTATACTAATTTAATTTCCCTTTCTACTATTAATGACAATTTCTGATACCGGAATGATTTTGCTCTTACTTTAATTTGTAGTAAAAAAAAAATATTTTTTTCAATTAAATAATTGGTACAAGAAGAAATATTGGTAGTAGTTTAATGCCCTTTTTAAATTAAAAATAAGAATTACATTTCTTTTTTCCAAATCACTTACAAATTTTGAGTACTGAATGACGTTAAAAAATGTTTACCAAAATCTAAATGACCAGATATATCATTTTAATATTCTGTCCAAAAATACAATTAAATTTTTGGTATTAGATGTCCTAAATGTACGGTACCAAAGAAATATTGTCTTCAATCAAATTTCTGGTAGTATGTAAAAAAAATTGTTACCATTTCTAAGGCCGATAAATTAAATTTCCGGTACCAAAAAATAAACGCTTTTAAATTTACCCTAGTACAGAAATCGATTTTGTTTCTTATTTAATTTACTACATGGAGAAAAATAATTTTACTATTATATGGATAGCGAATTTTTACCTCTGGTAGCTAATATTTAACAGCCACAGCAAAACATGTTAGCTGTGGAAGCTAATTATTAGCTGTATTAGCTAACAATAATACCAATAAGGGTTAGCTATTGTAACTAAATTTTAGCTAAGATAGCTAACTATTTTTTTCCATGTAAACAAATGATACTGTTTTTCCATTAAATTTCCGTTATCAGAAGAAATATTATTTTTAAAGCAGTGAGACGTCGAAGATCAAAAATTTTAATTTATCATTTGACAAATAAAGATGCAATTTGCGATGAATTAACAGAAATGAATTATTGAGAGGACTTAAAATTTCTGACAAAAATCTTCTCAGAATTTCTGGAAGCTGTGACACAGGAGCAAATGATAAGGACCAAAAGACTGATTTGTTGAGTTACAGTAAGGAACGTTTACGAAGGCAGCAACAGTAATGGAACACTTTCCTCTCGCAACGACGCCGGCGAGAGTGAACTCGACTCCGAAGATCGAGGTCAGGTCAAGGCCCCCTGGAAACGCAGGTTCCGTACCGCGTTCTATGGTCTTGATCTTTATATACTTCGCTCTTCTTTTCT